AATTATTTTCTTGTTTGTCAGACTGAATTTGTCAAATGGCTAAGCAGGGGGTAATTTTGACAGGTAAGTATTTTGGTTGGATACATATCAAACATTTGACTTCAATTGAGGCTTTTATTTTTGAAGATGGTGAAATGAGAAGGACATCATTACCCTAGCTCAGGGCACCCAAAAGTTTCCTTGTAAGCATATGTCCTTATGTTTTTCCTTGTCATGAATATTTGATGCAATACTTAATTTCTTTTATGTATTGCCTAAAGTATAATATTCTGCCAAATGAAAGAGTTTACTGAGCATGAATATTTATCCATTTATCCACTAGGAAATACAAAACCTCCATTTGGAGGCTACATTTTACTGTTTTGTTTAAATTCACTAGTTACAGATATTTTTCAAAGTACAAGAAGGCACATGATCAAGATCTGACAGGAATATGAAAATTCACACAGGACGTATCTCAAATTATATTCCCCCTTAATCCCCAGGTTAAACTTACATAAAATCAAAATAATTAGTGAATTCATTCAATCTTGTTTCTTTAAATACACGAAACTGTCTGTGATTTAATAATTTGTAATTTATTTTAAAAATGTACTTTCTCAGGAGCATGACATTCAGTATGGAATTTGGTAACAATGAAAAAGTAAAAAAAAAAATCAGTATTTTTTTAGTATTATTGAAATGAAGACAAGAGGCATTTGGAAGGCATTGGCCCTGAAGCCAGTAGAAAGTTTTTCTCTATAGAAAAGCAAAGATAATTTTGCAGCTCTACCACAGACTGAATGAAATATCCCTAAAGACCACACAGATCCCTTTGTCTGGAGTGCAGACTCAGCATATATTTTATAGTGAGAAAAAGATGCTACAGTTTGCAAATACAATTTTACTCTAGGAGCTAGAAAAGCATGTTGAAGCATGCATTCTATGTGAGAATTAGTATTTCATAGATTAAACATGTATTAAACAAATAATAAATAATAATATTTATTATTATAAAAATAATAATTAATATTCATGGAACCAAGCAAAAAAAATAAAGTAAGACAAGCAATTCACAGTGTGGAAGAATGGAAAGGAAGGTACAAAGGCCACACTCTGACATGATGCTTGCTTAATGTCCTGATCTTAAAGGTAAGTTAAAAAAAAATACACAAAAGCAAAACACTGATTGTTTTGTTCACTGAAGCCTTTCTACGTGAAAGGACCATTCAACATCAATGCATAGCTTGCTTTTCAAAGTTTAGTTAGCATAAATTGGTTAAGTTAAATTTCATAGGAAGTGGATTGTTGAACCAACTATTTGCATTTCTTTCTGCAGTTTACTGCTCTTTGTACATTTTAAAAATAATACTATGCAGTAGAACTGACACAGCCACATCAATGTTTATAGCAGCTCAATTCATAATAACTAAACTGTGGAACCAACCTAGATGCCCCTCAGTAAATGACTGGATAAATAAACTTTTGTATATATACAAAATGGAATATTACTCAGCATCAGAAAAGAATAAAATTATGGCATTTGCAGGTAAATGGATAGAGTTGGAGAATATCATGTTAAGCAAAATAAGCTAATCCCTCAAATCCATATGTTCTCTCTGATAAATGGATGCTGAGCCATAGTGTGGGGAGGGGTTATGAAAAAATGGAGAAACTTTAGGTGGGTAAAAGGGGGGAGAGGTGGGGTCATGGGAATAAGAAAGATGATGAAATGAGAAGGACATCATTACCCTAAGCATATGTATGATTACTTATATTGTGTGAAGCTACATCATGTACAGAGAAATAAAAAGTTGTGCTCCATTTGTATACAATGAAAGAAAATGCATTTTGCTGTCATGTATAACTAATTAGAACAAATAAAAAATTTAAAAATATGCAAATAAAAAATAGAAATTATTAATTAACTATGAATTTTTAATAATAATTTTGGATGGGGACAAACAAACTGGGTATCTTTGAACTACCCTAGTACTTTATTTTAGTCAGGAAAATGGATATAGTTGTATGTGGGTGTACAACCATGTGTGCACATGTAAATTCAATTCAAATAAGATTGTATAGACCTCTTATATTTTGTTACATAGAAGTTTTATTTAGAGAAGAAATAAAAATGGTGGCTACATTTCACATATTTTTTAAACCATCATCTAAATTTTCTTTCTTCTCCTAATATTTCCTAGCTACAACATCTTGTGTATTTTTTCTTATTCTCTTAATGTTTCCCTGACGCCCTAAGTCCACAATCCCCATCTATAATCATGTAATGCGTCCATAATCACAATTTAAAATTAATGAAGCAATGTTTGAGAATATCAAAACTTTGCCTTTAATTAAAGTAGACATTTTATCAATCAAAACTGATGTGGGGAGACTTAACTCATATCTATAATTCTCAATAATAGTTAGAAAAAGTCAACATAAATTTTCTCTTTATAAATATCAGCAAGTAATAATGATAATTTTTTTTGGTAGAGGTGGTACCAGGGATTGAACTCAGGGGCACTCAACCACTGAGTTATACCCTCAGTCCTATTTTGTATTTTATTTAGAGACAGGGTTAGTCACTGAGTTGCTGAGCACCTGACTTTTGCTGAGGCTGGCTTTGAACTCACTATCCTTCTGCCTCAGCTTCTCAAGTTGCTGGGATTTCAGGTATGCTTTATTTGTGAAATTCCTGTCACATATCAGAATCTTCAAGTAAACTATCACTTTTGATTCTCAATGCAGTTCTAGAAGATATTTCCTTAACATATGAAGATTCTGATACATGATTCCATTAAGAACCTAAACAAGAACTTAAAACAATCTTGTCTGACTAGCATTTCACTCTTTCTACTTTGACGGTTTTATACAAAGTTGTGACCATAGTACATTTTGAATATGTGAGCACAGGTGCTTAAAAATATGTTGGCCAACATAATCTGCAACAAATGTCCTAAAGGTTCAAAACTATATTTGACCTCATCATCTCTCTCTCCAACAGCCCCTGCAAAAGGATCTATTCATGTTCATGGTGATAATCATTAATTCAGGAGTAGTCCCCAATGCTGTACGTTGAAGACAGCACCCATTGGTTTAACTATGAAACCTTTTGTTTGTGAAGGAAAAAAATCTTTCTTAAAATGTTCTTTTAGGGAAAAATGGGCTTTGAAGATTTAGTTTCTTAAAATAAAATGTCATTCCATGAATGATCTACAACACATACTCAAAGCAAAAAGAATGAGTCTGCTGACAGCCAGAGTTAGGGGAATGTTTTAAGATATAAGATATTTCAAACATAATAAAATGATCAATAGTAAGTTGTTTTATTTTTAAATACCTGAAGGACACAAAACATAAAATTTAAATTGTATTTATCTTTTACAATTACACATTATTTTATGCTAATAAATTTATACTTGTAGTTCTTTAAATATGAGTGTAGAAATAAGTTGTAAATTGCCAGATATTTATCAGTTATGTATTTGTAAATATATGTACACCTATAATATAAATACAAATTTTATTTCTCTGTAAAAATTTTCTCTACTACATCTAGAAATATTCAGACTATTCCATCAAAAAAATGTTTAAGTTTTTTTCAGCAACCACTAAAGCAGTATCAGGAATATAAGTTAAGACATTAAACAAATAAAACAGGTATTATGATTGATCTAGTATTTCATGATATCCCTGTGAGAGGAATTCAAATAAATGTCTAAAATAGCCTAGGGTAGTATTGAGAATCACCTATAACAACTAAGAAACATACTTGCTAAAGAGCCATTTCCAGGAAACTAATAATGTAAGAATATTAGATAAAAAAATAAGTTTTAAGTTTTCTAATGCTAACTCGCAAGATATAAAATAATTTTCTTTACTTCATAAATGTGTTGTACTGTACAGAGAATTTACAGTTTTAAGGAGAATGATTGATGTGTTGAATTTGAAAAAGTTCACATAATTTAGTAATATAACCCCCTTTTCTGTTATGATTTGAAGCATTTGCAGCTGTAATGGCCTTTGAGTCTCCAGGATAAAGGCCTTAGCCAAAGCCAGGAGTTGCCTATAAAGATCTCTTTGACAGAAACTGGGATTGAATCCAGGCTCATTTCAGCAATATTTGTGGAGAAGAGGATTGAACTCAATATATTTGACCCAAAAGTGCATTTTTGGGGCTTGCACCATATTTATTAAAGCCTTGTGGCAAATCTAGAAGTTATTAAATGGGTGAGAGCTGGCTTATAAAGACACAGCTCAGAGCAGTAATAGTTCAATTCGACATATTTTTACTGATCACCTACCTGGAGCCATATCCTAGTATAGGAAACCATGGTTATAAAAAAAGAAGGAAATATCATCCACAGATTCAGGCAACTCACACTAGAAGGAAGGGCGATATAAATAACTCTAACACATGGCACATGGCATGATAGATTGCAAATGAAGTACATAGTAAAATGGGAAGTCAAAGACACTGCAAAGATCAGGATAGCCTTCAAAAGAGAAGTAGCCTTTGAGTTGGGTGCTGATAACACGGTTTCTGACCAGTGTGTGTATGGCAGGGGTCAGGGTAAAATTCTAGCAAAAAGATTAGTAAACACAGAATATATTCAAAGAACTGAATTCAGCATTTCAGAAGAATGTTTTGGCTGAATTGTTAGCATGTATTTTTTGGCAGAAAATGTTAGGGCATATTATTTGACATATGATTTTAAAATGGTACAAAATATTTGGAATTTATATGGTCATGTCATTATCATTTATTCTATTGCAGTTGGAAAGATAGGCTGGACATATGAGAAGGGATATTAGGGATTTGGAATCAAATACAGAAAAGTTAAAGTCATTACTTCACTACCTAATGATCATATGACCCTGTGACAAATTACCACAATTAGGGGCTTAAAACAACACCAATTTATTCTCTGACAGTTCTGAGGTCAAAAGTCCAAAATGAATCATCAGAACTCTATTTTATCTGGAGGTTCTGGGGGAGAATCTATTTCCTTGACATTTCCAGCTCCTACATTCCTTGGCTCATGACTCCTCCCTCCATCTTCAGAGGCAAAGTATAATATTTTTAAGTCATTCTCTCTGATGATTCTATCATCACACCTGTTGTCATTTGGGGATCTCTTAATGACATGTTGACTTTTACCTATTTTATTTGGCCATGTAGAATTAATACTTTGAAGAATGAGATTATCCTATAAAAACTTGACATGTCATTTTGAATGCATGAAGTTTGCTGTGGAGAGTTTGAAGATATAGGGTATTTCTGGAGAGGAAGAGGTTAATATAAATATTCAGATGGAATATAGGAAAAACCACAAATATTGATGACATATGTGATAAGATTGAAATTATTATCTTAAGATTTTTACAAAGTCTAAAATTTAATAGAAAAACAATATTATTTCAGGAGATAATTGAGAAAGAATGTGGTAAATACTCTCTAAAAATCACTGATTAAAAACAAATGTTTAAAATATAGTAACAATGAATAGAAATCTAAGAAATAAAATTAAAACAATAAAATTATTAATTGGCAGGGATTATTAAAGTTGTATTCAATATCTGAAAGTATTTTAATGATGGAGTTTCAGTTGACAGCTATAATCTTTTGGAACACTTGACAGGTATATAACCAAAGTGCTAAAATAACCACAATCTTTAGCCAACAGCTGAGGAAATTTTAGTACTAAATTAATTTAATGCAAAAATGTGTTCAGTTATTTTTCTGGATTCTTTTGACTAAAGAAACAGCATAACAGATATTAAATTCCACAGTGGATTATCAGACACTGTCATGTTCAAATGTCAAAGTTGGTTTTGGGCATCAGTTAGACATTCACACATAATTAGGGGATAAAGGAGTCAAACTGTTAAAAATAGACAGAAAAATGGATAAGGATTTATGTTTTTTCTCTGGAGGGAACTCCTCTATGTTCTCCAGATTGATCCCATGGGATGGGGGAGAAGAATGATAATATGGGAAGAGTTACAGGGTTGAATCTCACAATTCAACTTGAGAGAGAAGCATCCATAGCACCACAGGGAAAGCTTATTATTTTCTTGCCATTTGAGGAATACTATGGACTAACTGGAAGGAGTGATTAACTATTTTGGTGATATGGAAAAAGAGAAGTGCTTTTACATATGAATAAGCTTATAGGGTTAGAGTTTGTTCAAATGATGAATAGCTGAGTCTTTGCTCTAATCCATAAATGGACACACAAATACAAAAAAAAAATGGTGGTGGTGGGGTGTCACACTGGACCTTATCCAGGTGTCTCCTCAATGGGTAGTGCAACCTTATCTTTTGGAAGCTGGAGAGGAGTTGTTCCTATTCTAATAGGTACCTAAGAAGTAAGAGATAGATGAAAGATACATTTCAAAAAATGAAATTGAAAGTTCCCATGGTGGCCTCTGGTAAGTTAAAAAAAAAATCACTGAAAATATTCTCATGTGTGAGACCTTACAGATATTCAGGCAGTTCCTGATAGTACCAAGCAAATGAGAAAGTCTTATTTCCCTTATTTCTTTCTCTTTCTGATCCAACCTCAGAAGAGAATCAAAATAAATAAAATAAATATCCAACAACAAGAAGTTCAATTAGTAGCTAGAAGGAAGAGTCTCAGACAAGAGGAAAGAGCCAACCATAATTTCACTTCTGAAAACGGGTGACATCAAACCAAGTATGAAAGAGGTGAGAGGATAATAATATCTGAGTAAAATTCAATGTTATCTTGTTATCTAACAAATAAATTTACTTAGTGTATTGACAATGTGTTTGCCAATTTAAAATTGCAATAGGACTTTCTCTAATTTATAAGTGATTAGAAAAGTCAGAAATTTTTATCACTGAATGTCTTTAGAGGAAGTGTGGGAGAAATTATATAGCTTTTATAAGAAACACATTTCATAAGTGCTGGTTGTCCAATGTTCATATTATACATACACGTAATTATTCAAGCCATCATTAATATGATTAAAAATTGGGAGATAAATATTCAATAGTTAAATGATGAGAAAGTCATCATTAATGGAAGTGATCCCTGAAAACAACTGTCCTATCTTAAAAACTTGAGCAATTATTGAATAATATATCTCTTCATGTTAACATAACATTTATGTTACAAGTTCATCATAGAGGGATATAATAATGTTTTTCCCTCATTTTTTGGTGTTGAATCAAATTGGGCTAAACTGAAGAGAACTAATACTGCCCACTAGGGCTTCATACAGTTCCTCTTTTATGCCTCATATTTATAATATTTTGAGGAGATAAGTGTATAGTAATATGTCAATTCAAATAATATTTTTAATCACTGTAGAATTGTTATAAAGAATAATATGATAAAATAGGAATGATTTTTATATCAGTATTTGTAGATAGTACTTAGTTGAAAAAAATCCATATTATAAAAATATGAAAGAACAACAATGTCTGTGATGCACTGAACAGTCTTTTTATCATGTCAGAGTAAAACTCCTCCACATACTTTTTTTTAAAAAAAGAAAGATTTGTGTTTTCTACAAAAATTTATTGAGAAAAAGTTCTCAGTCTAGTAAAGGAGGTAATCCTTTTTTCTTTCTTTTTTTAATTTATTTTTTATTTATATATGACAGAACATAATTTTTCATATTGCTGGTTATATACACAGTATATTCACACCAATTTGTGTCTGCATACCTATACTTTGGATAATAGTAGTCATCACATTCCAACATTATTAATAACCCCAAGCCCCCTCCCTTTCCCTCTAATCTCTGCCCTATCTAGAGTTGTCTATTCCTCCCATGCACCTGCTCCCTATCCCACTATGAATCAGCCTCCTTACATCAAACAAAACATTTGGTTGCTCTCATTATATCAAAGAAGACATTTGGTATTTGTTTTTTAGGGATTGGCTTGAACAACCAATAAAAAAAAAAACATTTGGCATTTGGTTTTGGGGGATTGGCTCACTTCACTTAGCATTGTCTTCTCTAAATCCATCCATTTACCTGCAAATGTCATGATTTTATTCTCTTTTATTGCTAAGTAATACTCCATTGTTACAAATGCATATAAATGTGTCATTATCATAGTGCTGTTAAAAAAGAGGCATGTTGGGGCTGGGGATATAGCTCAGTGGTACAGCACTTGCCTTAGCATGTGTGAGGCACTGGGTTCAATTCTCAGCACTGCATATGAATTTAAAAAAAATAGTCCATCAACCAATAAAAAATATTAAAAAATGAGGCATGTAGTTCTAAGAGCTCACATTTTAGAGAAAGCCTCAATGAGCAAGTGTCAGGTCAGCTAATATTTAGCATAGAGAAACAGAGAGAGCAAACAATATTTCTGGCAGAGAAAACTGGGTGTGCAAAAGCCCATACAATTTTTAAAAACACAAAAGAGTGATATATCGCTAGATGTTTAACATAACAGTAAGTGTGGTACAAACTATAACCAGAGAGGTAGATTATAACCAGACCATATGGGACTTTGCGGGTCATGTTTGGATTTTAGAATTTCACAGTAGTAAAACATTGTAGTTATTTAACATTGCTCTCAGGGTAAATATTTTGTTTGAAAAGACATGGCTAGTGAAGATATTAACTCAAAGTGTTGAAGATTCCTTGGAGAAGTCTGGAAGTGAAAGAAAGAAACTAGGGCAGTAGCTGGAAGGTACTGTCAGTGTGATGGGAAATATTTTCAATTGGCAGATACATGAGCATACTTTGAAACCAGTGGGACTTGTGGTTCAATATACTGAAATAAAGGTATTTTTTTTTTACTTTATTCCCCTTTCACAACCACCAAAAACAATAAGAATAAAAACATAAGAGAATTACAAGTACAGAATGATTTAATTTTTAATGAAACAAGTAGAGTGGAATGATTTTTTTATATTCATCAATGTGTTTTTCATTAATAAAATTCCATCTTGTTTCCATCTTGTCTTCCCTTTTCAAGCAACTGTTATTTGAGTCCAAGAATAAACCAAAGAATGATAGAAAAAAGCGTCAAGACCTTGATTTTGGAGCTCCAAAACTATCTTCTGAAACTCATACCAGAAATAATAATTCAAAAACATTTGATTTGCCAATTTTTTTTAGTTACAAAATTTTTGAAGTCTGATAGCAGCACATCTTCAGAATAAATATAGATTTGAGAAAAAGGAATACTGATGTAGCTGCCCATCTTCCCAGCATAACCTAGTTCAGATTCCATGAGCAGAAGAGAAAAAGATTGGAGGGATGTGTTCTGGGAAGAAATTAGTTACAGGAAGACATGATGAAAGAAAGAACTACCCAGACATCTTGAGATGCATCTGAGAGTGGAAAATACCTTGTGTATGGAGCAGTTCCCATTAAATTCTGATGGAACTCTGATAACTTCAGTCTCATATGGTCCTCCACACCAGGACAGTTTGGTGACAGGATAAATTTTACTAATAAGAGTGTTAGAGTCATGTGTCACCTGATATTATAAGAAAGCAACCACATTTTCTCTTGCCCTTATGAGAAATGCAAAACTGTTTAAAGAGAAGCTGCTAGAAATCATGAACTGAGGAAGCTATTCCAGAATTGGCTTAGTTTTCAGGTACAAATGCTATCTATAAAGTGCTATGACTAAGGCTGACAATGGGACATTTCTAATGATAAGTTCAAGGTACTGATGGGATTATTCACCTCAGCAGATACCAGAATGAACAGATGCTCTGTCATGTGGTTTCACCTTTCTCAGATTCATGGGGTACAGTAAGCCAGGAAGCATTTAAATGTTACTCTCTGGAAAAGAGGGAGAGGAAGCCAGTGAAAAATGCTAGTTAAAATCTAAAATAACAAATATACCTCAAATAACTATATTTAAAAACCAAATTTGGATTCATAATATAAAATGTTATAGAAAAATAAATCTGCCTTTATGATAGAAGTGAATTTTGTTACTTGTAAAAGTTGTGACTCATTCCACAAGGAATCATCTATAATCCCAAAGTGCTTCTCATGATCTAAAATAATAGACAGCTCAGAGAGCAGATTCATATTTGTTTACTAAATAGAAAAGAAACAAAAGAAAAAAAGGTTACTATTTCAGGTGAGGTAAGGGAAGTCACAAAATTTTGTTATAGGCCAAAGGCAAAGCCAGAGACGTATATATGGAAATCTGGTGAGTCCACTGAAAGGCAAGGGAGGTGAAGCTGAAAGATAAGTGATATTACCCTCGCTGTTACTGGTTTACACACTAACACACTAGCAATGGGAGACTTTCAGACACAACACAAAGAGTAAAGGATGAGGATGCAGTAAACACGAGATGGGAATTTGGCCTACTAGAAATGCTTGAAATTGAGTGAGGGTGTATCACAGGTGATGGAGAAAATAGCATATTTAGTGAAATAGTGAATGCCTCTAACAGTAATCCCATAAGCATAGTGTGTCCACCTAATCATCCTACCTCTCCATCTGACATTCCACTTTTTATCACACCACTATTCAGCAGGTAGTTTACCACATTCAAAATTAAAAATCAATAAAGGAATTCACATAAGACTTAGTCATAGATGTGATATAGTTGCACCATCCCATCTGCAGGATCCCTAAGTCTTATGGCATAAAAATCTTCTAGCCAAGAAACCACTGAATTTCTTTGGAGTAGCATGTATTCCTGGAAATGAAGCACCACCCTGAACAGCATGGAAGGAATTAATGGACCTGTTTTATAAACCATCAGGTAAAGTTTGAGTACTTTTATTGGTTTTGTTTTAAAGAAATGATGTTATGTAATTTATTAAATTGCCTATTACATATTTGCTCTTAAAAATCTTACTTACAAAATTGTGCCCTAACATACCCCTAAGAAATTTTCTATATATTTTAGTCTTGATTTGGAATACAATTTATGCTCTCTCGCATTTGTTTCCTTTAATTTGATTAAATTTTACAGTCAGTCTATTATACATTATATATCCTCGGTGGGAAGATGAACTATTTGAATGATGAGGAAGAGAATAAAATAATAATTTTTTTTTCAAATGAATGCTCAAAAAATACCATGTAATTATTATTGGTGAGATCACACATAATATTTTTCCTCCTCTACACATTTATTTTTTAATAATCTATACAAAGTTATGTGTTTTTTATGAGAGAAAAGTCATTTAAAAATATTTGGGTGATGAGTTTTTAGTTGAAAAAGTTTATTTTTAAAACATAATTTCATAGATATCAGTATCTTTCAAAGTTTACTTCTCATTCACAAACCATGTTCAAGATATACCAAAAAGCTCTGTTCACTGTAGTTGTTCATGGTCCAAGGGTAATGAATACTTTATTTAGAATGTTCTTCTCTATCTCTGTTGTAGGGAAAGGAGACTAAGGCAAATGTGTTCTGGCTTGTAAAGATTTCATCAGTAATTTGCATCATAACACTTGTCTTCACACCTCACTGGCCAAAGCAAGTCACATGATATGAGAAAAAGGGAAGGTCCTCCAACCATGTGCCTGAAGGAAAGTCAGACAATGTATTTCAAAAATATAAATGATAACCTCAAGTGACCATGATCATTTATAACTACAATGATCAAAAAATGTTTGGAAGAAAAAAATTATTTATAACATATATTATGTTTATGTATATACACACACACACATATACATATAACATTTTTATAGATATTTGCCTAAGCTGTATATATCATACATAATATATTTTATACATATATACTATGTATTATACACATGCATAAATACATATTGTGCATTATGTGGACATAATGTGATTACCATATATTATTTACATGTATATAATATATATGTGTAAATATAAATATACTTTTGCATATTTTTAGTTTGTACAAATAAGTAAATTGAAAGAGAATATAGTATCTCTGGGAATTGTACAAAAGAAGGAAAAATGGTGATAGATTACTTAATCTATACTTATTGACTGAAATCAATATATGATTAGAAATTCAGCACTCTGTAGAGATGTACAAGTTCTGAATTTGGACATAATAGCTGAAATTGTAAGGTCAGCTAACATTTAGAAGGGAAAGTACACATATGAAAGAACCATAGGCAGATTTTGGAAATCACTACAATATAAAAAATTGCACACATGCAAAAAAATGTATGCAGAAAGAAAAGGAACACTGAGGATTGTAGGATAAGTGAGATAGTTCAATGTTAGAAAATTACAAAATTTTACCATTGGAATGATCTACCATGTGAAATACTGTGGGTACATTAACTAGGAGGCAATGGAAGTAAAATATTCAGGATGTTTTAGATTATTGGAAATTTATGGAGGAGGATTTCTAGTAGAGTGAAAGGAGTATATACAAAAATATAAAAATTTAATAAATAAATTGTATTTTTACAAATATGTGAAGAAGTATAGGGGTGACTGGTGCTCCATTAACTATATATTAGTTGTCACAATGCTAGTTACATGAACAACTATTTTATTGCTCTTCTCTATCCACTTTCTTCTATTAGCAACTGAGAGTCTTATGTTAATATCTTCCACTATAATTATGGATTTATTTCTAGTTTTAGTTTTGTGAATTTTGCTTGGATATTTTAATTTTATGAAATTAGGTGCCTAATTTTTTCCTTAGAAATTGAATTTTATCTCAGAAACTTTATTTTGATATGTTTAAATATTGCTTTCTTTTGTTTACTTTACTTGTAGTTTGCCATACTTTTTGAATTTGTGGTTTGACACCTTTCATCACCTTGAAAATACTTCCCCATTGTGTCTTAAAAATATGTGTGTTCTCCCTTTCTCTTTTCCTTTTGTATTTCTAATTTTATTTAGATTTTTATTCTATTCTTTGTCTCTTACTCTCCTTTCTGTATTTCCTTTATTCTTTATTGTTTCATTCTGGATGTTTTCTTCCAATGCATATTTCAGTTTACTAATTACTTTTTCAGTTGTTTAATCTTATGTTAAGTATACCTTTTAGGGTTTTTGTGCTGTTTATTATATTTTTACATTGTATATTTTCCATTTGTTTCATTTTCTGTAATTTCTAATTTAGTATACACACCTGTAATCCCAGCATCTGGAGAGACTGAGACAGGACTATCATGAGTTGAAAACCATACTCAGCAGCTTAGTGATGCCCTAAGCAACTTAGTGAGACCCTATCTCTAAATAAAATATGTTGAGTGCCCTTGGTTCAATCTCTAATACAAAAGGAAAAAAAAAAGAAAGAAAAGAAAATTACCAATGTTATTCTTATATTCTTACATAGGTCAAGACTAGTTAAATATTGTGTCTATTAACTTAATTTCCTTAAGCAAATTTATATTTGTGATTTCCCTTATTCATTTGCAAATGGATAAATAATGTGATCTAAAATAATAATAAATATTATAAATTACTTGAAATTCTAAAATTATGACTTAAAACTGAAATGCATTCCTGCAAGGACTTTTCCTCTTCTATTCACTTTTAGGATACAGCCCTTTGTATCCCCACCCAGGATTGACAAAGTAGAGAATGATCAATTATTACTCTCAATTTTCTGAATTCTGAACTCTCCAATCTCTCAGAACTACTGCAATTGAAAGATATTTTATTGGAGAATTGCACATAAAGTGGAGTTCACATCTCTGATTTCCAGTGTTCTCTTGAATCTTGGTCCTGCTACCCCTGAACCCCATTGGATTTAGTTCTGCAATACCTTCAGTACATTTTTTAAATGTAGACATTAAACTCAATGATGAGAATACGAACAACCCAATTTTTAAAATAGGAAAAAACCAGAATAGACATCTGACCAAAGAAAGATTCAAATGTCAAATAAGTGTATGAAAATATGTGTAACATCATACATCATTAGGGAATTGCAAATAAAAACAAGATAATACTGCATACCTAGCACAATGACTAAAATCTAGTTTAAAACACTGAATTCTGGCCAAGATGTAGAGCAAGTAAAATTCCATAATTGCTGGTGGGAACACAAAAAGGTACAGAAAAATTGGAAGTCAGTTTGGCAGTATCTTACAAAATTTAACATAATCTTTCTATATGACACAGCAATTGCAATAACACTCCTTAATATTTACCAAAATGAATTGAAAACTTATGTTCACACAAAAGCCTACACATGGACTTTTACAGTGGCATAATTCATAATCGGCAAAACTTGAAAGCAGTCACAATATTCTTTGGTAGATAAATGCATAAATAAATTGGTATTCTCAGACAATAGAATATTATTTAGTACTAAAAAGGAATGAGCTTTGTCAAGTCATTAAGAGACATGGAGAAAACTTAAATGCATATTGAAATGAGTCTACCTACTACATATGGTATGATTCCAATTATATGATGTATTGGAAAAGACAAAACTATAGAGATAGTAAAATAATCAGTGTTTGTCAGGAATTCAAAAGAGGGCAGGATGAATGGGCAGAGCAGAGAATTTTTGAAGCAGTGAAACTATTCTGTATGATACTACCATTGTAGATACATGCCATTATACATTTGTTCAAACCCCTAGAATGTACTGCTCCAATAGTGAATCCTAACATAAACTGTAGTCTTTGGGTGATGATAATACATCAACTTAGGTTTACAGATTAAAAGCCAAGTATCTTTATGATCCATAGCAGGGGAAGTTTTGCAAGAGTAGGAACAGGGGATATCCAGAAATTCTTTGTAATTTTACTAAGAATCTATAACTACTTAAAAAAGCAAGATTTATCATTATATTTTAAAAAGTTCTAGATCATACTGTCATGGATAGCTAAAATGAACAGATAAATAATAAAAGTTATATATCATTTATATGCACATTTACAAAAACAGAAGAAGAAGAAGAAGAAGAAGAAGAAGAAGAAGAAGAAGAAGAAGAAGAAGAAGAAGAAGAAGGAAGAAGAAGAAGAAGAAGAAGATGCTTCAGTAGGTAAATTTTCTAATTACTTGGTCTGTCCTCACAAGAAGAATAGAACTAAACCCTTGTTGGATTTTAAAGAGACACACAGCTGTGTTATATTTTATATTGTGAGACAGTTTAAAGGCAGATACTCTAGTCATTTAAATCCTTGGTATTTTTGTATAAAAATAAGCAGAAATTTAACGAAAGCTCTTTTTATGATTTCAAGTAAATTCATTTGGTAAGGAACTTAAATTTTGTTCTAGATGCTTCTGCATACCTGCTTTTTACCTTTAGACTTGTAATCATATATTTATTTATTCTTTTTAATTATACATGACAGTATGATATAGAACTTTTAAAAATATAATTATAAATTTTACTTTATAGGGTAGTTTTAGGTTCTTAGTAAATTACTTGCATTTCTTTTTGCTGCCTGTCACATCCTCTTGCTGTTTTCTGCATTGTGATTAATTGCTATTTAAACTGATCTTGGATTTCCAACTTTGTCTCTAGCCAGATCATCCTTAGCTGTCTGTCTATTGAGCACCCAACTGCTCACACTTGTTTGCCTTACTTCACATCCATTTTTTTACCTGGTGTCTATACCACAATGTACTTAAGGTAATGGTTAGAGACAACTGTTTATTACTGTATTTTTTCAAATTAATTTGCATATTTTAATGTAATTTTACTGAAGGAAGTATGTAAGTATTATTAGTTATTTTTTCCAAGTTTGGGGTTTTATGTTGATTGCTTAGACATCTGAAAACTAATTTGCTTTTCAAGGCTATTTTATTTTCAATGTGCAGGACATGTCTGAGATTCTGTGAATTTGGGGCAGGTTATAACTTGAAGTGATAGGCAACACAGTATGATTTAACAATTCAGAAATAAGGATTTGTTATTACTTTTGTTTTTTGACTTGAATGTCTTGTGAAACTTGTTAATGAGAAAGTTAATTGTTTTGTTGTTTATGTCCCTGGAGTCCTTGGTTCTTTTAATGTAGTGAACATACTTGTTTTAAAAAGCAATAGAATGAAGCCCTTGCAAAGATACAGGTATCAGTACCATATATGTTTTGGATATTAACTAACTAACATACAGTTAGCAAATATTTTCTCCCATTCTTTAGGTAATCTTTTAATTCTGCTATTGTTTGCTTTGTTGGCTGGAGACTTTGTAGTTTTATATAGTCCCAATTGTCTAATTTTTCTTTTGTTTCTTGTACTTTTGGTGTCATATCTAAGAAACCATCACCCAAACAAAAGTAAGTAAACCTTTTTCCTGTATTTTCTTCTAGGAATTTTAAATTTCCAAGTCTTAGGTTTAAGAGTTTAACATATTTTTAGTTTATTTTTGTGCATAATGTGAGACAGGGTTCGAATTTCATTTATTTTAATTTGGATATCTGGTTTTCTACCACTACTGTGGACAAGATTATCTTTTTCCCATTGTGTATTCTTGGCTCATCTGTCAAAAGATTCATTGACATATATACCTAAATGTGGGCTTTTTTATTGAGGATTTCTACAATTCAACAGCAAAAAAAAAAAAAAATCAAATTAAAAAAATGGCCAGTGGACTTGAATAGACATTTCTCCAGATAAAGCATATAGATGGAAAATATGTATATAAAAAAGATACTTGCCATCATGAAA